TTGACCCACCTCCACGGTGGCAAATTGGTATAACTGGGTAAAACTATAGGTGGGAGAGCGGGTTAACTTAAATGGACCTTGTAGTCATGTAATTGGATATAAATAACTCAATAAAATATCATGTGCTACTTGCACTCTTTACCTAAAAAAAAAAAAAATTTTCATTTAATTAAGTTTTTGCTATTTTATGAGAAAATGTTAACTAATCACATTTAATAAAGATTATTAAATATTATAACCAATTAAAAAGAACTTCTGTTATGCTCATAATATTACTATTGTATGTATACTATAAGAAAGTAACATTTGTAATCTTAAGACATACCTATGGTTCCAAAAATTGGAATTGAACAGAATTATATAAGATTCAAAACATTATTAAAAATGATGATGAGATATATCCTATCTATTAAATTTAATATAAACTTGAAAATTAAATACAGAATCAAAGAGAATTATTAGAATCCTTAGATATGTTTAGGGAAAGATGATCAAGAAGGGATTAGCAAATATACAAAAGTTGATCAAATTGTAATCTGTCTCAAAGTTAAAGCCTTACTTTATTTAGTATCAAATTCAAGTATTCAGATTATTATTATATAAAGAGTATGCCATTCTAGTAACAGACTCATCAGTAATAACAACAATAATATTAGAAAGCATTATATCAATTGGCTTTAGAAAATGGTACTTGGCTTAAAAAAAATATATAAAATGATTAGTTTATTTTTTAATCTCAAATTTTTACAATTCTTAATAAAAATTTTCAATCGGATAAAAATTATTCATATTATTATATTGTTTATAAAGAATATAAAACTGAAAAGATAACATTAATTAGGAATAAAACAAAAAAGTTAGAAAAGGTGTCATATATATGTATGTTGATATTTTCTTTGCTTTTGAGAATCTAGAAAAAGCTTTTGAAAAAGTAATTATGTAATTTATTATTTTTTGAAAAATTTTTTATTACAATATTATTGTTACAAATTTTTTTTTCTAATATGGATATGATTAATAAACCTGCCATTTCCTTTTATCAATAAAAGAAAGTTATGGATATTTTTTGATGTGCCTCTAAAGTGTACAAAAAAATGAATCATAAGCCATTTGTTATCATTTATAACAATATTAGCTGATTGGTTCACAAAATCTGAAAATTCTTGACATACTTCAAGATAATACAAAGAATAATGCTAATAATAGAGCATATATTACTATATTTGTTAGCAGTGAAGGAAATGTATTAAGAAGAATACAGTGTAAGTGCTAATAGAGGTTTTTTGTTCTTTTATTCACAGGAATATTTATTCTTTTATTTCTATTGTAGCACGTGGTTCTTGGTCACATGCATAAGAATTAATCGAAATTGGTAATCTTTCTAGAGAAGAATCATTGGACTACCTGATCAATCAAGACAGTCAAGAAGGGCAAGACCGATATTACAGAAGCAGAGAAATTATATAATTTGGTTGATGGACAGATTGTAGATTTGAAGTTTGTAGCAGATGAAATCTGACAGAACAATCAATTGAAGGTAGAGTTATTTTATATTATGTGATTTATTTAACAAAGATATTGTTGTTTGAATATCTCCATTGTTTTTGCAGTTATTTTTTGTGAAAGTTGAAGACAAATTCAGAGTTACAAAAATTCTTGAAGACGATAAATATTATAAAGTAGGAAAATGGATTATCAGTGCTTTGCAGGATTCTGAAGAATGATCGCACTGCATTTGAGAAATTTTTCAATAAGCATCAGGAAGTCAATAAAGTTTTGGGAACCAATTATCCAAAAAAAATACTTTAACCTTTCATTCTTGCTCAGTAGAACATTATGTTTAGAAAAATGCTAGTATATTCATTAAATAGAGTTATTAGACACTTAATGTTATGAATTGCATAATAAAACTTTATTTTATATTTTATTAAAACTATCTGTTATATATGAGCATAGAAAGATGTAACATATAGAGGGTACCCATATTATTGTGGACACTTTTTATTATATAATAAAATAAATTAATAAGTAAAAAAATTTTTTATTATACTAAGTAAATATTTTTATAATATGTTAAAGTATATTATATTAAAATTTCATGTGATTGTAATAATTCACTTGAAATTTATAATCAAAAAACCTTTGTGCTACGAATTACAATCAAACCGAAATTACAAATCGAACAAAAATCTTTTTTTAAAAAAAAACTTAAAGCTAAAAAATATATATATTTATATATATTTTTTTTTTAAAAAAAAATTCAAGCTAATATCAAGTCTTAGTATTTTGTAGGGCCTTCAACAGTAGCAATGCAAGCTGCAATACGATCCGGCATACTATCCACTAATTGACGGCAAATTTTGGTGAAATGTCTTACCAGGCTTGTTTAACAAGAATTTCGAGATCAGTAAAATTATTAGGCTTTGGTTTGTGACATACAGATGCCTTAACCTCATGCCAGAAGTTCTTGATGGGGTTCAAATCAGGGCTTTGGACAGGCCAGTCTAATACCCTGATCTTGTGATCTTCAAAAAATGTAGTAGTGATTTTCGAAACGTGGGGTCTCGTATTGTCTTGCTGAAATAAAGAACGACTACGATCCATATTTCCCAGATATTTTTTTAAGGTGGGTATGGTATATTTGTGCAAAATCCCAACATACGAAGCTCCAGTGACATTATTAATTAATGGAACTAGAGGGCCAGTTCTGTGCCAAGAAAAGCAACCTCAGAACATATGGCTAGGGCTTCATTTAATAGTACAACTTAGGCATTCGACGTCCCATTCCTCATGCGGTTTACGCCAAATTCAGAAAAGAACTTGCTGGAAAAGCTGAATAGATGTTTCGTCTGATCAAAGAATACGTTTGAAGTGTCGGGCGGTCCAGTCCCTGCGAGCAAAACACCAGATAAGCCTGTTCAATGCATTAATGATAAAGATTAGTGGTTTCGGGTGTGCAATACAAAATCTTGAATTTTTTTTTTTTAAGGCGCGATGGATAGTATTTTTTGATACATAAAGTTTGGTTTGAGTAGTGAAAGTAGTGGCAATTTGATAGTGTTTAAACAACAGTTTCCATTAGTCACAAGAGTTTTAAGGACAGAACGGTTGGAAGCAGTAAGAAGCGGCAAATGTTTAGGACATTTTCTTTGCGGTTCAATAGTTCCCACCTTATGATATTTACCTATAATATTTCCCACAGAAGACTTCTTACAGCTAACATTAGCAGTGATAGCATAATACGAGTCACCTCTCAAGTAACCATAGATAATGGCTCCTTTTTGTGTAATGATCAAATCTTTTTCACTACCCATTAAATTTGATTCTTGTTTTTTTAATCAAAAAAGGGTAAAAACATGATTTTTTTTATATAAAAAAATTCCAAAAAATTATAATACAAATTAACGTGCTTTCATTTATATTTTTATTAAAAAAAAATAAAAATAAAATAGATAAATAATTAAATAAATAATTATTTAATTACGTACTTATAGTTTCTTGATTTTCAGTTTGATAATAATTTGTATCTTTAAAGTTTTTTATCATAGATTTTGAGTGAATCATTATAATTATTTGAAATTTAAATATAATATGCTTTATAATATATAATTTTAATTTTGTTATAATAAAATTATTTTTTTTATTAAAAAATTTTTTTATTGTATAATAAAAAGTGTCCACAATAACATGGATACCCTCTGTATAAGTAAATCTTAATTATAAGAAAACAGATAGTGTTTTAAGTATGAATTTTTTTTATTGTTTATTTATCGTGTAAAGATATATTAAGATATATTAAATGTTTTATTCCCTCAAATTATTAAAATCTCTGCCTTTTTATATAAAAAATCACAGATCAGAATTTATTTATAAAATGAACGGAAATAACTTACTGAATATACGTTTATTTGCTCGTCTTACCGCAAGGCATTAACTCATGTGTTCTATATTTTGATAGAAAATGGATTATACAGTATCGATCTCACAATTCTCATCATTCCCACTGGCGCATTTTTGGACATCAAAGTATGCTGAATGGGATTTTTATTTCTAAAAATGAAATCAATGAATCAGCCAATGCATCACATATTAAAATTAGGAATACAGTGACTACTTATACGACTATGGAAATGCTTCTTTTTTTAATCTTTGTGCGGTTAATATTGAACGTAGAGAACGTGTGTAAGTGGAACCTGAAAAAAAAAAAAATCGGTGATTATTTCGATAAAAAACTTCGTATACTGTATTCTTTAACTACGATTACAGGCGGTAAACATACTTTCATTAATATTTGTCGAGTTAATTCATTTTGAAGGTGTTTTAATTGATCCGAGTTATAATTACTATAACTACGATTACAGGTGGTAAGCATATTTTCATTAATCGATCTGAGTTATATTATTTTAGAAGGTTAACATTTTTTATTTATATTCATTAAGTTAATTTATATCAAAAGTACAGTATAGTGGTTCTTTTCTTTTAGCGAGTAAGTTATAGTATTCTCTTTAGTATAATATTTTTGTCAATATTATATACTTTTAGTACAGTAGGTAAACAAATTTTACAGTAAAATTATAAAGTTACTGTGTACTGTAATATCGTTGCATTTAAAAAAGAACCCAGTGACCGGAAAAAATCAATGGTCTTAACTGATATGATAATTTCATTTTTGTCGAAGTTGATGCTCTCCTATGATCAACAAAATACAACTAATTATAGAAACTTTGTATACATTGCATTTACCACCGAGTAACTTATAAAGGATTTTTTAATTAAGATATACGTCCATTCAACACCAAAAAGTTTGTTTGGCTTATTGTGCCCCTTCATAAATGCTCTCGGTGAAACAATACAAAGTTTGATCGACATATAGTTATAGAAAGAATAACAATCTGTAATCTGGACATCCTAATTATTGTATTATAAAATTAGAAGATTATTTTTATATAAATAAAGGGTTTTCATGAACGTCGTTTTTTAAATTCAATATTCTATTAAATATGAGTAAATTAGAACTTGAGGAACACCGAATTTCGATTCCGGAAGAAAAAATTTTAGACTTTACGGAATGCCGAAATTCGAGTGATGACGAAAAAATTCTATCACACTTCAGAAAAGACGAAATTTCGATTCGTGAAGAAAAAATCATAGACCCTGTAGAATTACATTTTGGAGATGGCAATAATTCACACAATTTTGAGGTTTTTTGCTCACCCAAGATGGAATATATTGCAACCGTGAATTATAAGGATCGTTCAGTTTACACGTGGAAATTTACAAAGAGTGAAAATGGAGAGTGTGGATTAAAATTGGATCACTTCTTTGACCTTAAAAAAATAAATTTAATGGCACCAATAAGTGTCTCGGATTTCGAAAATATTCTTATAGGAAATTCTTTAACACTCGGTTGGTTTGAATCAATCTTAAAGTTGTAATTACGTCTCTTTTTAATATCTAATTTAATTATTTCAACAGAAATTACAGATTATGAACACCGACGAATAAAAATATTGAATACTCAAGAGGATTTAAAAGGAAGAATTGATTACTCTGGATTTCTTGAAAACGGAGATTTAATAGTTATTGAAGGGGATCCTGTTTATCAGGTCCATATCTTTTCTAAGAAAGATCAGTGGCGCTGCACGGATATTATTAAACTCGTAGAATATAGACGTTTAGTTATTTCTCGGGAAAGAGTGCTTATTCTCTTATATGTACCTTTTATAATCATGCAATGGAATTTGGCAACACGAAAGTTTGAAGCACAATACGAATTAGATTGGAGTTTGGCCAAGTTTCGGGAATCAATTTTGATGGAACTAAACAATGATTGTACATTATTGGCTGTGGCTGGACGTTTATATCAGGCATGGAAAGGAAACTCCAAAGTTTATTTTTATTGTACCAAAACCGGTACTATGATAGCAGATCGTAAGTAATATTTTGCGTACAAGTAAAATATCCAAGTTTATTTTGCTAATTTATAAATTTATAAATTTAATTAACAGAAATGTTTGTTGAACCTTTCATCAATGAGCCTGGTACATATCATAAGTACTATCAATATACTGTATAAGTAAATTATTCGGTTCATATTATTAACCTATATTTATTTATTTATTTATTTATTTAATAGATGCGTACAATAGTTACATGGGTTTTATTACTTTGAAGAAAAGGGAAATTTTTCTTGCCTGTTTTGAAGATGACACATCCTATGTCATTAATCCACGCACTTTCTTGAAATCAAAAAATCCTGGAAAGTTCGATTTTATGACTAAACATTATTTTGCTATTTCGGGTTATATTGTACGATTTAATAACGGCTTACAAATTGAAAGTTTATCACCAAACATAGAATTGAAAGATGAAACTGGGAAAGATGATAAAATTGATTTGCGTTCTTACAGAGAAGAAGTAAAAGAAAAAATAGAAAATATGTTGGAAAAATATAAGCTAAACCAAGACATGGTTCAAGTTCTCGAAAAATATTATATAGGCCAGTTATACACCTGGATTGTTCATTACGTGAAAAGTGGCAATGCATTAATAGTTAGATTAACGGCTGTGCACTCTAAATCGGAAATTAGTGTCGGAAGATCAGTAGAAGTTCGTTTGCCGAATGTTGCAGATATAATTCATACCAAATTTCAATTACTTAAAAGCGAAGATTTGATGTTGATTTCCCCTTCTGGTATACAGATCTGGACAATAGAAATAGAGCGCACTTGTATTGAGCCACTTCATTATTGGGTTCATTTGGATACGTATTACGCATCAGTAACGGCGCAAGAAGCTATCATCAAGCAACTTACTTTACTAAAGAGCAAATTCGATTCCGAAGATTGTGAAAACTCGTTACCTTCTCCGTATTTCGACCAAATAATTAAGCATAAAATAGTAGTGTATACAATTATAATGGAGAAAGATTTAACCGAGAGTTCGGAAGTGGAGGAAGTTGTAGATCCGGAATTAGTAGGTCTAGTAGGTCCGGGAGTGTGTGGTCCTAATATGTTGTTATCTTTACCTAATCAAGATATTTCGCATGAAACTTTGTTACGTGATTATATTTACGACACCTCATTTCCATTCAAAAGAAAGTTGATCGATATATTAATTCAAACGAAAAGAGTGGACGATAGTTTAAAATGCATTAATGCGATTATTAGTGCGGGTTTGAAAGATCCATCAGAACTGGGATTAATAAGAGAACATTTGCTTCAAAATTTAATTGAAATCAAAAACGGTCATCATATTAGGAAAAACTTTGAATTAATTATTAAACATGGCTTAGCTCTGTTTCAGAAAGGAACTTTTATTTCCAAGTTTAGCAAATTATTAGGTGCACTTACTTATAATCTTCTAGAATTAGAATCATTCGATAAATCCTACAGATTTACAGAATATTTTTTATCCAAAACGGCATTATTAATTCCTGATCATTATAATAATATTGTGGGCGTATTACATTCTTCAATTTTCGAGGACTCTCATATAACCGTAATACATCAATTTAACAAAGACCCTTATAAAACCTTACCATATTTGTTTAACACATCATTTTTCCATCGCCCATCTTTCTGGCCAACAAAAAATAATACTTTAAGTTCTAAAGAAACCATTTATTTAATGGCACCCTTATTGAATTTTGCCACTTACCCTAAAGAAAACTATTCTATTTATAAAGATTTTATTTTTCCACGCGGTAACTCTTTTACCGCATTAGATTCTCCAGAATATTATAAATGGCCGAACATGAAAGCTCTTGTCAACTTTAAGTGGAGCACGTTTGGGAAAAAATATCATTATCTGATCTGGGCAATTTACTCGATATTCTTAATTTGTTTTACCACGATCGCAACAATTCCTTCAAAGAACATTTCATGGGAATATCAGAAAGCTCTTTTGGGGACAACAATTTTTTTGGGAATCTTTCAGTTTACTTTTGAAATTCGACAATTTATCCACTATAAAGGAGATTATATTAAAAGCCCTTGGAACTGGTTTGGTTCGTATGATTTAATATTCAATGTTTATTATGATACAACTTCTAACTCAATTTCATTTTCAGATCTTGCCGCAATCTTTTTTCCAACAATAGCCTCAGTTATGTGGCTAATTGATAAAAGTGCTCCATTATGGATTATCGTTATATCAACGCTTCTACTTGAAATCAAATTTTTATTTTTTTTCCGTGCTCTTGATTATTATGGATCATATTTTGCAATTATGATTGGAGTAATACAACAAATTTACTACTTTATTGTAATTTTGGCTATAATTGTTTTGGCGTTTTCCCATTCTTTACACCTCCTATTAAGACCGACCACTGAATATTCTTATGATGAACCAAGTTACGCTGATGACGAAAATAATCCTTGGAATCTTGTTGCAAGATACCAATCCATTTCCTCTGATGGTGTTATTGGAAAACAATCTCTTATCGCAACTCCAGATGATAATACAAATCAATTCTCAGCATTCAATACCGCTCTATTAGCTGTTTATTTCATGTTAACGGGTATTGTATTATATAATTATATGACATTAAATATAAATTTATTTGCTAATTTTTTATGCTTTAATAGGAGACAGAGGTTCTGTCTCGTCATGGACTCTAGGAAATAACCCGACATTGGCGACTATATTATTTTTGTTTTCATTTTTTACTGCACTGTACTTAATGAATTTGTTGATTGGATTGCTTAATATGGCAATTAATAATACAAATGACGAAGAAGCGTTGTTGCACTTAAGAGGAGAGGTATGGATTTTTTATTTATTCATAATTTAACATTATATTATTTATAATTGGATACTTTAACGATGATAATAATTAATGCTTATAGGTTTTGGCGGAGATTGAACTTTTTTGGATGCTTCCCGGTCAAAGAAGAAAGGAAAATTGGTTTCCGGAAATTTTGTAATTGTTTCACATATTTCTTATTCATTTTTTACTTTGAAGATTGATTCGACCAGTTTCTAACACGAATAATTTTTTTTTAGATATTACAAAATAACCGTCGAAGAAATTACAAAATTTGTTAAGAAAATGGAAGATGAGGTGCATGACGAAATATCACGACCATATTTATCTCCTGCCATTAAAGAAATTATCGGATATGAAAAAAAGGTTGACGAAAAGATGAATGAGTTACATAAAAAATTTGAAACGATTGATAAATTTGATAAAAAATTTGAAAAGATTGACGAAAAATTTGAAAAGATTGATGAGTTCGATAAAAAGTTTGAAAAGATTGATGAGTTGGACAAAAAGATGAATGAAATAATCGAATTAATTAGACAAAAAGGTCAATGAAATAATCGAATTGATTAGACAAGAAAAGTAAAATGAGGACGAGAGTAAATAGATAGTGGTTTCTTTTGAAATTTATTTTTACTTAAAGATTCTGTTTTAATTAATTTTAAATTAAATTACAGTATATAAAAAATAAATCGATTTTATTTATTTGTATAAATCATTAAAGAAATACGTATTATTAACAACAACATTGATTGTTCTCATAATAATCCGTAATCAAATTCTTGGATAACGAATCGTCAAGACAAAACTCCATTTAATGCTTAAAAAGAAAATATGATTGATTAATAAACCTTTTTTGATAACCACATTAAAAAGTTTATATTACTTTACGCATAATATACGTGTACTGTAATTAACTCCGAGTAAACCACTATAGGCCCTAGAGCTAACGGACGATAAACTACTATGCTTCTACTACTTGCCCATGAAGTTGTTCCATAAAGATTCATGACTGATCCCTCATACGGAACCAATAGATCCTATTACATTGCATCACGGACTCAACAAAAACACAATATGATAAATAAATAACAATCATCTATTTCGGTTCTGTTTTCTCACTGTAGGAACCTTTTTGCAGTAGAAAAGACTTTAATTCGATAAAAATAAACATTCTCGTGGTAGGTAAGATTTCGATTCGGTAAAAAGACTTTTTAGTGATAGAGAAAAATATAAAAAGCAAGTTTTATTAAAAGAGATAGAACATTGTTATTTTATCTCTAGGAGTAATAATCTTTTTATGAAAGAAAATGTACGAGGTAAGGTATTTAAAAAAATTATTTCTCATCATTTAATATAAGAGAAAAATTATATCATTTACAGTATATACAGTACATTAAGAACGTATTATACAGTAATTATACTACAGTATATATACAATATACACTATTCAAATAACCAATCTACGTAATCTGCTAATTAAACAATTATGAACCGAAATCTATAGAATATTTTAAGGTTTAAAGGTAAATTATTCACATTATGTCTTCCTATTGTTCGTTAATAATCAATCATTATTATTACAGATTAATGTTTCGCGATACAGTACTCCAGTTAAAATTGGTCACGTGACTATCGTCGCGTTTTTTTTTGATATATTATTCATGCCTGCTATTTGGCAGTTTGTTATACGTATGCTGATATCAAATTTTTTAAGCTCTTTGGGGATTAGAGCAGACCTAAGATATTTTCGATTTTCAGATCAGATTTTTGTTAAAATTAAAAAAAAAAAAATTTTTTTAAAATATATTATTTGCACGGATACTTCACATTTCTAATACATCTGCATTAAATGTTTTTTTTTAACAACTTCAAATACTTCGTAATCGGCAATTGTGAAATACCCTTGACCTTTTATAAGTTCATGACTAGAGCTGACGCCGCAATAAAATTGTCGTTCTTTGTTACAAATTATCTGTAGAGCTGCATAAAGCCCAAATTGCGAACCAGCACTTTTGTAGTAATAAATGGCATTCCGATCTTTTGCTCGGCTAAGTTTTGTGTTAGTTCTGTCACTTGTTTTCAATGAAAAAATAAACCATTCATTCAACTTCAAGGGATTATATCCTCCAAGGATTTCATCGGTTTTTTCCGCTTTTGGAACAATCAATGTACGCGCGTAACCATCAATCATATTCCAAAAAAGTTTCATGATCAAATCCATTACGGCTTCCTCTTAATATTAATCGAAATTCATATGGAATATTTGACAAGGAATATCCGTCGATTGATTATCAATCCATGATGAAATTTCTGCTGCATTTGCTTCATTAATAATAATAGAAAAAGGTTCCTTCTCTCATCCTGTTGTCGCGGATTGTGGGAAATTAAGGTGGGAAAAAAGTGCGAGTGAGAAATTCTAGAATAGCGTAGAAGCGTAAACAGAGGTAAGCATGTAAATAATAGGCGCATATATAAATACATGCAATTCGATAGCATAAATGTTGGTTAGAGTCTCGTAATCGGAAAAAAAAGTATGGTAAGTCACGATTTATTTTATATCTAATAATTTTTTTTTTATGAATCACTAGTATTTAGTCGGCCCTCCGTTTGCCCGCAGTACGGCATTAGTCCTTTGCGGCATTGAGTTTATAATCTTGTAAAGAATCGAGATATCAAATTTCTCCCACTCTTCAGTAAGTGCAGTTTTAAGCTTGCATCTACATTCTTTGGAAAATTCTTATATTTCTGAATATTATTCTTTAATACTTTTCAAATATTTTCAATCAGATTTAAGTTGGGTGAATTGGCTGGCCAATTAAAAATTGCAATTTTATTTTTTTGAACCATTCTTGAATGATCTTTGCTGTATGGATTGGCATGTTATCCTGTTGAAAAATCACAAGACTTTGTATTAACTTATGAACCACTCACTGAAATTTTAAAAGACTAGTATCTAAAATATTAATATAGGTTTTTGTATTGATTTTTCCTTTTTGTTTTTTTTTCATTACAAAAGATTTTATATCTTTACAAAACACTTTCAGATTATTACAAATTGCCATTCACTTTTAAAAGTGGGTATCAAACAGTTGGTTTCAAATCTTTCTCCTGTGTGCTACCAAACTTATATCTGTTGTGACTGTTTTCCAATTTCAATACTTGCTTTAATTATTCAAAAATGACTTTTTTTTTATTTTTTATACATCATATAATATGGGTACATGCATGCTTTTTTGAAATAAATAACAGTTAACAAGCTGCAATTAAGATTTGAATTACTAACAATTTCATATAATGGTGTACATTATACATGTTGCTGAAATTTGTAGATCCTTGATGCAATTGACGCAATTATTTGACACAATTAATTGAGTCACTATTAAAACATATAAATAATTGAGTCATGACACAATTATTTTTGAAGATTTTGGAAATTGAGTCAACAGCAAAATAATTTATGCCACATGTATAGTGTACATCTCCTTTTCAAGGCTTCATTCATAAATATTTTTTTTCTAGAATTTTAAAAGTTAAAGGTCTTTCAAATTATAATAAATTATCTATTTTTCTAGTTTTTAAATACTTGACTATAAAATATCATATTGTAGTAGAATTACTTTCTATTTTTCATACAATCTTTATAGTATTTGAAGTTTTTATAAAAACAAAAATTTTATCTTTATTTATGTTAGACAAAAAAATATATTGTATATATATATAGTTTTTGAATTCAATAATATTAATCTAAAAAATAAATAGAAGTATTAGATTTTTATATACATTTATTTAAAATTGTTATATATGAAAATCAAGTATTACTTGTTAAAATAACTATATATCTTACTTTTAATAAAATAAACCATTATTAAAAATAAATTCATACTTAATGTTTCTATTTCACATGTTGTCTAAGTACTGAAGTAAAATACAGTATATATATATTGCATTTTACTTATATTAGATTGTTACCTACTTATAAATATATTGTATTTTACTTACATTAGATTGTTACCTACTTATAAATATATTGTGATCTAATTATAAGTAAATACCTATTTTAATGTCTATTTAGCTTGATATTTGTTTCCTCTCAATGATGTTTTTAACTTTCTTTGATTATTTGACTGCTTTCCTTGATTGTAACCGAGGCATGTGATCTGATAACAAAAGTTAACTACCGTTGTCATGTGATCTGATAACAAAAGTTAATCACCATTGTCAGTGACATGATTTCTTTTTTAAGCCATACTCAAACTGACATATATTAAGGTGATGATGCATCCAATCATATGTTATCATTTGTAGGCCCAAACCTGACACATAGTGCTTTAGCTTTCTGATTAATTCCTCTATAGGGACCAGGTTTAAGGCATATAGTACCAAAATAGTATTTGTATCTTGACTTTATGTAATGTGTTTGAATACTAATTAGAAATAAGACACATAGTGCCGAATTGTTAACAGTTATATTGCACTTGAATATCATCTGAGAATAAGGCATGTAGTACTGAACTGTTAGCAATTGTTAGCTTTACATAATTCATTCAAATATCACTTGAGAATAAAGCACATAGTACTGAATTGTTATCCTTACTCGATAATCCACCAAAGCATCTGATGATGAGGCATATAGTGCTAAATTGTTAATATATCTGATAACCTGAGGATGAGGCATATAGTGCCAAATCATTATTCTATTTGGTAACCTGAGGATGAGACACATAGTGCCAAATCATTATCTATTATATTATCTTAGAATGAGGCATGTAGTGCTGAATCATTATCTATTATATTATTTTAAAATAAGGCATGTAATGTCGAATTGTTAACATATCTGATAATCCAAGAATGAGGCATATAGTGCCAAATCGTTATTCTATTTGATAATCTGATAATAAGACACGTAGTGCCAAGTTGTTATCTATTATGTTATCTTAGAATGAGGCATATAGTACCAAATCATTATCCTATTTAGTAACCTGATGATAAGGCACATAATGCCAAATTGTTATCTATTATGTTATCTTAGAATGAGACACATAGTGTCAAATTGTTATCCTATTTGGTAATCCAATGATGAGGTACATAGTGCTGAATTGTTAACATATCTGTTGATATTCCAAAGCATAATTTTATATATTATATATCTTTCTGTAATAATTATATCTTGGAATATCACTTTTTTTTCGATATCTATTTATATGTAATCCCAAAGCACAGTTTTATATATTATATATCTTTCTATAATAATTATACCTTGGAGTATCATCTTTTTTCAGTATTTAGCTGGCTTATACTGATACCTAAATTATACTTTTTATATATTTCAAAATATCATTATATCAAAAACTTTGAGATAACATTATAGAAAACTTTGAAATAACACTATATCAAAAACTTTGGAATATCATTATCAAATATGTATCAAAAAACGTAAATACTATTTATAATTAGAAAATGAAACTTGGGATATCACTAATTCAAAAACTTTGGAGTATCACTTTTTTTAATAACTTGAAGTATCATTTTTATTAATACCTAAATTAAGCAAC